GATGGCGGGGCTGGGATGGGGTGGAGCGATGGGGGCAAACATGGGGCCAGGCATGGGAGGGGGGATGACGGGCGGGGGACTGGCGATGGGGCTGGGCGGGGCGATGGGGGGCGGGATGACGGTGAACATGGGGCTGGCGCCGAATTCTCCACCGAGTCCGGATTCGGATGGGGGTCGGAGCGGTCTGTCTCTGTCGCCGATGCACTACGGGCTGGACGGGTCGGTGAGGGGGAGGAAGAGAGGACCGGATGGGCCAGTGGAGAAGGTGGTGGAGAGGCGGCAGCGGCGGATGATCAAGAACAGGGAGTCGGCGGCGCGGTCGCGGGCTCGGAAGCAGGTAGGGGGGGGGGTGAGGGTTGTGGTGGTGGTTGCGGTGGAAGGGCGGGGGTGTGGAGACGGGGATGGCTAAAGTTGTGGGGGGGTTGGTGTGCAGGCTTACACGGTGGAGCTGGAGGCGGAAGTGAGCCAACTGAAGGAGGAAAACATGCGGCTGAGGAAGCAGCAGGTATCCACCAGAAAATCTGTACGTACCGCCTTCTTGCCGAGTAGCAACCTGTTGGGTGGTTTTTGGGGGTTGCGGGGTTGGGAGGAGGGGGGAGAGTTGGTGATGCGGAGGACGTGTGATGCATTTGGTGTGGGGCGGGAAGGGGTGGATGGAAGGAAGGGGAAGAGCAGGATCTGAAGAGGTTGGGGTGTGTGTTGTGTTTGGTGATGCAGGAGGAAGAGGCAGAGCGGAGGAAAAAGCAGGTAGGCGTGGTGGGAAGGTGGCGATGTAGTTGAATTGGTAGGGGCGTTGGTGGTGGTGTCGTGGTGGTGGGTGGGGAGGTTGGAAATGCGGGGAGTGTTGATTGAGGCGAATGTGGCAGTGTTTGCAGATAATGGATATATTGAAGTCCGCGACGACAGTGGGTGGAGCGAAGAAGTCGAGCACGTTGCGGAGGACGAAGACGGCAACGTGGTAGTGGGGAGCGGGAGCGTAAGAGCCGCCGGGTGGGCGGTGGGAAATGTGAGAAAGGCGAGCAGGATCCGAACGGTGTGGGAAGTCGATGCATGTTCCAGGAGTGGGAACTGAGCAACAGCAGTTGAGGCTGGCTGGCGGCTGTAGACACATGGGTGGGATCTTGCAGCGGGTTGTCCCGGAGTCCGTGGAGCGGGTTCCAGGGAAGGCTGTCGGAGACGTGGAAGGATGGTTTGGAGAGAGCGGGGGGATGATGGACGTGGTGGGAGGAGGTGGGAGTGGCAGCATTGAAGAGGAGAGAGGTGGGAGTGGCAGCATTGAAGAGGAGAGATGTGAATAGCGGTTTGAGGGGAGAAGGAAGCGCGGGAGGAGTGGGAGGTTCCCAGGCGGTGGGTAGAAGCAGCGGCCAGCGCGGCGAGAAGGGGCGGTGGGAGCGAAGTAAGTGCGAGTGGAGATGTATAGCACAGTGGTTTGCTGTGGAGAGAGCAGCATTGTCTGTTTTGGGGCCTCACCTGTACACATATGAGCGCAGCGTTTTGCGTGAGGTATCCATTACAGTGTAGAGTTGGTCGGGGTTAAGGTCAGAGATAGAGGTAGTGAAATGGAGGAGTTCCAAGGCCATCAAGGATGGTCTGTTGAGTTATTAGAGTGGGCACACTGAGGTGGAGGGCTTTGGGGAGGTTGTGCGGTATATCCGAGGGTAAGAGGGATCGATTTTTTGCACATGTGTGTACGAAAGCATGACCGACTGAAGCGAAGTTCAGACAAGCAATCTCCGTTCCTATTTGTGTGTCGTGGTCCATGAAGTGGTTGGTGTGAGAATTGTTGACCAGTGCTTGTCTATCGTGGATGACCCTTACAATATGGAAGAGGTTGTTGTCCATGTTGCTTATTTCGACTTCAGTTTGATTGCAGTCGGTTTCTTTGATGCCTTGCTGAGTAATTTCAAGTCTCTCTTAACTATAATCTCGTTGTGTTAGGTTTAGGGCTGTGCTCTGTTGTGTTCATTTTGATTTTCTTACATTCTGTATTGTTTAATTGTTTGGTTATAACTAGAGGCCTTCTAATGGGTTGAAATCAGCAAATTGTGAGGTTTAGTCAATTGATTGGTGTTCGTTGTTTTGAAATCGTATCCTTAATTTTTGAAGAGAATGATCAGTAGTACCATCATTGAATGATTGGGAATATTGCCTCGCTTTATTTTGAGGAGTTTATATGAAATATTTAATTCGTTACTCTTGTTTTTTTAGGTGATAACACAAAAGACTACTCATGGTGGACTTTCTGTATGTTTCAATTAAACCTACTTCTCAGTGCATCCATGAATTGTGTAATTAGTGTAAATTCCCTGCTTCATAGTGACACTGTCGTGTTGTGATTTATTTGAGTTTGGATAGTGTATAAAAGAACACTTCTGGTTATTGTGATTTCCCTGGGGTGAAAAACTAGATTTTAATAATATTGGTTTTTAAAATGGGTCATATAGTACAAGGTATTCATCCATTTCAGGACGATCACTTAAACTTTCTCATTCGAGATCTGACTGTATGCATCTTATCCTTCAATAATGTGAGGCGACGTGGGTAGCAACTAGTGGCGTCTATTCTTCGAGGAAAGCTCTCAGCAGGTGCCTCAAAGCGGCCAAAATGGGGATGCTGTCAAAGCATAGCAATAAATTATTTTTGGGTTGTGCCCGCTTGTTACTTGGCGGCCGCTTGGCAGTGCCTCATTGGCCCCGTCTTTATACACAATTTTTTTGGAATTCCCACTGCGATGCTGCAGTCGTATGTCACAGGGGTCTGACACGTGTTGGTGAATTTCCGGATTCATGCAAACTGGGTCTCGGCACTAATTCGGGACCCGGAAAGATCCTGAAATTGCGCGGGTACGTTTCCTTTTTTCCCAATTGGTGGGCAAGGTCGGGCCGGGCTAGGTTCAGGTTGGCACGGCTGGACCTGGACTTCGCGATGCGGTGGTCTCATCTCATGGTGTGGGTCCGTGAGTTTTACCGGGCCAGGGTGATTCATCTCCTGCCTCCCCTTCTCGATGCATTGTACTACGGCCTGTATATGCCCCTTCATGTCAAGATATTGCAATTTCATTATTTATTTATTTTTAAGTTTTGAAGTATTTAATGGATTAAAAATTTTAAAATTGAATCTTAAAAGTTAAATCAAGTGCTTTCTAGTTTGTGTGTATATAGAATTAAATGATTTTCATATATATATATATATATATATATAGACAGAGTTGTTAAAGCCACACCCCAATGTTCTAAAGCCACATCCCATATAACCATCTCATGATCAATTCTGTCCATTCCTGTCTTCCTCCTTTGTTCCATGTCTTTGTTTCATGTTTCAAACTTCCATGCTTTGTTTTCTAACCCCATCCCTTGTTCCCTATCTCCCAACATTTGGTTTGGGGATGTGGCTCTAACAATTCCCTATATATATAGATATTTGTAAGAGAATATTTTAGCATGATATTTTCACTGTCTTTTATTTATGCCAATTGTAAGACATAATTTTTTTTGTATTTTCATTTCTATCACTCTAGAGTACTTGCACAATGGAATCTGATTTTGAATTGATCAAATTATTTGCATTTTTTTTTTTTTTTTGATTGAATTGTAATAATTTTTTTGGAAATTACTCTACAATATGATATGAACCTCTTCATGGATGGCAGTACTCATGCCCGAACAGAGACACTGGTACGCAATTCCTAGAAGTCTGCAGTCGACTGTTAAAAGTCGGCCACCCCTCACTGCGTGCGATTCTGGGTTGACTAGCCGAAGCTGTGATGTGTGGCAATCGCTTGCGGTGCATGAGCGCATTCGAGCTTTTGAGGGGATTGGAGAATGAGATGAAGCGGGTAAATTGGTTCAGGTGCTGGTGGGTTTCACAGACTGGCTGTGAAGGCGGAGTGCGCATTTGGCGTGCACAGCTCCATCCCTTTTTTTTGTCTGATTTCGAAGACCAATTTGCTTCGGTGGAGGCTCATTTTTCATTTCCATACTTTGAAGTCCATGTGTCCACTAGAAGTTGCTTATTTGTGTCCGGCACATCAAACGTTGACGTATGCATTCTTTAATGCATACGTCATATTGTGTGTACAACACTTGGTTGCAAGAGGTTCAAAATTTATTTTTAAATATAATTGGTATGATTTTTTTTGTAATAGCAATTATTTAATGTTTATACGTGCATATACATGTTAATTTAAACTTGTATTATTGGGTGTAGAATTATTCATTGTAAATTTCAATTAATATCTTATTTGGAAGAGAAGTTTTCTACTCTGAAGATGAATTTTGTAAATTTGTGTAAGTTTTGGTTGATACTCTTCTGCTTGATGTATATAAGTTTTATTGTTCTAATTGATGACTTAGGAATAAAATTTGGTCAATAAAGATTATATATATATATATATATATATATATATATAATAATGTTTATATACATGCATATATTTGTTGTTGTTGTTGGTGTTGTTTTTTTGCCTCTTATAATTTTATATTTTTATAATTTTTATATTTTTTGGTAAAAGCTTCAAAAAAAAATCATCATTTAATAGAATTTAAATTTGGTAGAACAAAGATTACATATTTAAAATATCTAACAATTTTTTTTCAAGATAAGATTATATTTAAATTATTCAAATTAAAATTTTTGTACGTTTTTATAATTTGAATAGTAAATTTGAACCTTTGTTGTCAAAAATACTATACATGTATTAAAGATATTATGTTGCTAATTGAACCTAATAATTATCTTATTAATATTTCTACTTCATACTAAGAATTTATAGTTTGATGTTTGAGTATATATTTTTATATATACAATTCTTATTTCATACAATTTTATTTTATTTTTATTGCAAGATAAATTCTTTTCTTTAGGAATTTGATTTTAATGTACATCCGTATCCTTGACAATAGACCAAATTATTAAGTCGACACTAAGGAAATTTTCTTGTCTTACAACTCAAACTATATGCATAAATCTAGTATGTATCAGATTTGCAATAGCTATTGCTACAATCTATTTATTTATTTTCTTTTGATGTTATCTAAGACCTTAAATTCTAATAAGATTCATGATTTCTTTTCAAAGTATAAAAACTTCAATCCACAATAAAAAATCTTTCACTTTTAAAAAATAAATTATAATTTAAAACTAATCCAAACTTCTTCTATTATTAAAAGTTTTTTATTCTCAAACTTTCTATTCTCCTACATGATTCTTTAGACCACACACTTCTACATTATCATGTATTATCTTATATATTTAATTATTATTTTATAAATAAAGTTATATTTAGTTTAAATCTCACTTGTCTAACTAAATAATATAATTCATTTAATATTAGTCAAATTTATCTTTAATAATTCAAAAAAAATTGGTATTCATCAAATTTATCTTTAAATTAATTTTTTTTCATAATAACTTTTAATTCATTATGTAAAAAAATCTATTGTCTTATTGTATCCTAAGACCTATATATGATATTATTTATACATTAATTGTCTATTATACAATAATTTGGTTTACAATTGGCAAGTATTAAACCAAAAATCAAACAACTTTAATAATATTTATAATATAATAAGATAATAAAAAGACTACATATCTATAACATGTTAATAAAAAAATATGATAAATTTTTAGAAGAATTTTATTAATTTTATTTTAAAAAAAATTAAAGAATTAATATTATATATATATAAGTATTTTTTACTAAAAATTATAGTAAATATAGATATATAAAAATTAAATATCATAAAATATACAAAAATAAAGAATAATGGTGTTTTAGGCTTTAGATGGAAAAATCCCTTTAACTTGACATTCTTATCAAGTCAAATCTTGTAAGTGTTTTTAAGAGTAAAAGTTGATGTTTATAAGATTTTGCTTAGCTATGGTGATTTAGCCATTTGGTAAACTTTTAGGATATTTTCTATATACTTGTACTCTTGTACTCATTTTTTGTGGTGTAAGAGATAGCTTGACTAAGTTGTATTTAGATTTTCCATCCTTAACTTGATAAGAATGTTTTTTCTTCTTCAACTTTGTAGAATTGAAATAGAATAGAAAAAAATAAAGAAAAATAAATCCTCTCTTCTTTAATTATTTTAGTTATTATTATTTTTATTATTAATTTTTTTGTATTAATTTAGATATTATGTTGCTAATATTTAATTACTATTGTATGGAATTGAATACTAATTTAGTATGCAGTGCAACACAAACTATAAGTTGAGGTTTTGGTGCAGCACAAAGGTGCAATCAAGGTACTATACAATATCAAAGATTAGAGCAAAGAATAATATTAAGCCTTTTTTTATTACTATTTATGGTATTATGTAATTAATTACTATGATGGATTAGTAGAGTTTACAACAAGGCCTAAAATGAACCTTTAGAATGTAGAGTACAATAAGATAGAGTACTTAATTTATAAATTAGATTTTGTGCTTCAATTAATTCTCAGTCACAAAGTTGAAGTAGTGGTAGAAATATTTGAGTTATAATATTTGATTTGATTTTTTTTCTTTCTTTATTTTTTAAAAGATATTATTTATTTATTTATTTATTATTTTCTTATAAAATAATTTTATTTTTTGTTATAAAAAAATAAAAAATAAAAAAGCTATTGTTGTGTAGGATTTCATGAACCTTACACTCGTACACTTTGCACATAGCCAATCTTATCTACATTGCCATTATCTTGGCTACATATTGATTCTTTTAGTATCAAGTAATGCTAAGCAATACAAATAGTTGGCAATTTGTAGCAACGAAAGCAACAATACTATGTGCTAATTTGCAATACTTTGTGATAATTGGTGGTACAAAGTAATAGGAAAAAAACAATAGAATGATAAGAATCAATGCAATGATAAGAGCCATTGCAATCATAGGTAATAGTATGTGATCTCAGGACTTTTGAAAAAAATTCCATCTAAAATTTTTAAGTGTCAAAGTTTGAAAGTTCTCTTAGGAAGCATATTAAGCTAAATTTGATAATTTTTGATTCATTATTATATAAAAGTTACATGTGATTACTAATAATATTCTTGATTTATAAATTAAAAATCATCTTGAGTACTTAAAAGAAATTTATTCAATAATATCCATTTTCTAAGTAAATTTTAATCATTTTTATTTTTACAATTCACATTTTAAAACTTTAGTGCAATCTTCTTTAATTATCAGAAGTTTTGTAATCTATAACTATTAATCATAAGCGGATGTTATTTATTCTTATTCACTTGTAATTTTTGTTGTTCTATTATTGGAATCAAAATTTAATTTAAATTTATAATTATTGTCTCTAATACCTTTTTTTAGTTATAAATATTATTACCAAAGATTTGTGGTATTATCCTATTTTGTATTGTAGTAGTCTTTGATAGTAAATATATTGCAAGAATGAAATTGAATTAATGGTTAATAAAATCTTCTTCTTTGCACCAAGTGAACAATGCTTATTAGCTTTGTAATGATCAATAGTTAATTTCTTATAAATTATAAAGGTTGATATTAAGGACATGAATCTCAAAGCACTAAAACATCAATGTACTTTTGTGTCATTTAAAATGAATAGATAATCACTCAAAGATAGTATAAAATTAAAAATAAAATAATAATTACTAAAGTATTAAGGACACATATTACAAAGAACCAAAATGTCAATACATTCTTGTATCACTAAAAAAGAGTAGATAATCACTGAAAGATAGTATAATATTAAACTGAAATTGCTATTGCCAAAGACAAGAAAATTTGAGACTTTTGAGATAAGATTAAAGACTAGAAAAGTACTGAGAAAAATAAAAAATATTTTATTCTTGCCTCCATATATACTATCTAATTAAGAGCTACGTGGCAACATTCTATAAGACCTCCAATGCATGTCTAATTTAGAAGCCATGTATCTAATTTGCAAGACAAGTTTTATAGTACGCCACATGACAAACTTCTACTACAAGTGGCCAATATGTGCAATACATAGCCAATTTTTTAACCTAATAATTACATATAAACAAATATAAAGTCAAATTCCAATATTGAACCTTTTAAAAAGATTTTTCATAAGATATTATTAAATTTACCTACATTTATTCTCTATAGTAATTTTCGAAGATGTATATTTTTTAATCTATTAAAAATATTAAAATGAATAATTGATGAATTCTTTAAAATATTAAGACCAACTATACCCTTATTCAACAAAAAAAATTTTAAATTCTTAAAAGAATAAACTTTGTTGCCATTATCAATTTTTGACCAACAATTACTATTTTCTATTATTGACAAATCTCTAGTCAATTCTAACAACTAACAAAAACTTCCTCATCTCTAGCAATGTCGTCGCTATATCAACCTTGGCAGTCCATCCAACTATATAATCCTCATCAATACTATGTATTCCATGATTTTTATGAAAATTTTATTTGTCTTGTTAAAAAAAAATATAAATCCTTCAACTTTCAAAACGCATATTCTAATAAATGGTGGATCAAAGCTATAGTCTTTAAACTTCTCTCCATTAAAAAAAACATAACTTGGATATTAGTACCTCTTTTACCAAGTGTACAACCAATTATTTTTTGTAAGATTTCTAAATATATACCTAGTACTAATAGTCATCCAACAATAAAATAAATTTTCAAAGCAAGGGTTGTAGCTTAAGATAATAAATATTTTCTTCTATTTTTTTATTAAAAATTAATTTGATTCATTATAGTAGTTGTGGTTTATAAAGGCTAGTCGATTTATTACTTTGGTATTATTACGGCTATTATAATTAGAGATCTTAATGACATTGTATATATACTACAACGACTAGGTTGTGACTTCCTTGGCAAAGAACATTAAGTATATTGCTTTTCACAATCTCTTTATGGTCTTTGCCAAAGTCCTCAAGCATTGTCACGTTGTAACATAGATATTAGGTTAAAGAAAAAAACATGGATTCTATTATAAGAGAATCTAATTAAAAAATATAATAATAAAATATAAATAAAAAATAGAAAGATAATAAAAATATTTAGTATTTATATTTTTTTATAAAAATAATTTCTATTTACTTTATAAGACCATAAATAAGAAAAAATAATGTAGATTATAAGAAAATTAATAATATCAGTATTTTTAGAAAATGATTGAAAATAATTTTTAATAAAAATTATCTTAGAAACCAAGAATTGATACTTAGAGAGGATTGATTG